CCGCCCGCCGCTCGGCGACACGTCCAGCGCAGGCTCGGGCCGCGATCAGACACCACGGAGCAGAGCCGCGCGCCGCCAGCTCCCGGGCAGCGCAGCCCCGCTGGCGCGCCTGCGCACCAAGGGCCGGCGAGAGGCGGAGTCGCCCGGGGATCCCGTGGCGCCGAGCGCCAGTGGTCGCCCCAGCGGATCCTCGGTGCACGAGGAACCCCAGGCGGGAGCGCGACATCGGTGCGGCAGCTCCGGTCGTCGAGGAGGAGGAATCGGTTCTCGGCGGAATCAACCCGGCCCGGCCACCGCTGGGAGGCTCAGAGACCACCCCCTGAAGCAGCGGCCGCGGCAGGTCCGCCGGAGCCCGGTGGGAAGCAGCTCCGGTATCACCGCCGATCCCGGTAGGGCGGACCGAGCGACCATTCCCTCGCGAGGGTGGACACGCGCGTGGGCCAACTGTGGAGACGGGCAGGCCCACCAGTTGGGTGCGAATGAGGTGGCCAGTGGTAGACGTGGGCAAGGCTAGCCTGATGCGCCCCCTAAGGGCACCGGGTCCTCAGCGGGAGCAGCAGGAGGGGTTCTCCGGGGGCAGGAGGTGGTACAGCGTGAGGCAGTGGGCACCCTGCCGCCGGCACGTGAATGAGGGACCGTGGTCGCCCTCCAGCAATGCAGGGACAAGGGCAGCCCCATTGGCCACACAGCACTGCCCTGGGTCGGCACAAACAGGGTGGGAGGGGTGACATGTGCCCTAGCAACCTGCCTGGGCCCCCCCTTCCCTCCCGATACTGGCCACCCCATATCCAGGCCACCCAGCTGTGGGTGGGAGGGCACTGCCGGGGCACTGTGCTCTCCGCTCAGGCAGCGGACAGGGTATGGAGACACGGAGGACGTCCGCTGGAGACGGACACAGACAGCTGTAAGGGTAAAGGCAGGGACCCCGAGACCAAAAGTGGTTGAGGGCTGCTGCTCCGGGGCAGTTTTTCTGGCCCCTGGGTCTCTAAGGTGAACTGCACTGGGGCATAACACCTGTAAGGAAGCATGTGCCATCTGAACCGGCCTTAGGTGCAGAGTGAGTGACAGTCATGCATTCACCTGCACGGCGGTCATCACCGTTTCCGGGTTTTCATCGCCCAGACAGACATCGGGCACCTTCACTGTGAGTGCCCCGCTCTCCCTGCCAGCTGTCTCCCACCACCACCGACACCCGAGTCTGTCTCTGTCATGTGTCTACTCTAGGTGTCACACAAGGGAATCATACGTGTGCTCTGTGCCTGGCTGCTTTCACCAGCATGTTCTCAAGGCTCATCCATGTTGAGGCACAGATCGGGACTGCGTGTCTCTTTATGGCCGAGTGACACTCCAGTGTAAGGTACGCCCCGCGGTATGGCCGTCACGTGTCATCGCCTGGGCTGTTAGTGAAATCTTTTGGCTCCTGTGAACTGTGCCACACTGCAGCCTGGTGTACAAGTCTCTGTGTGAGT